GGGCCGGGCGGGCGCTAGGGGCCAGGGTGGCACGGAGGGGCCAGGCGAGCGCGACTGGGCCAGGCGGGTGCGACGGGGCCAGGCGGGTGCTAAGGGCCGGGCGGGCGCTAGGGGCCAGGGTGGCGCAGAGGAGCCAGGCGGGCGTGACGGGGCCAGGCAGGTGCGACGGGGCCAGGCGGGCGCTACGGGCCGGGCGAGCGCTAGGGTCCAGGGTGGCGCGAAGGGGCCAGGCGGGCGCGACGGGGCCAGGCGGGTGCGACGGGGCCAAGCGGGCGCTACGGGCCGGGCGGGCGCTAGGGGCCAGGGTGGCGCGAAGGGGCCAGGCGAGCGCGACGGGGCCAGGCGGGCGCGTAAGGGACGGGCGGGCGCTAGGGGCCAGGTGGGCGCGACGGGGCCAGGCGGGCGCTACAGGCCGGGCGGGCGCTACGGGCCGGATGGGCGCGAGGTCTAGGTGGGGGGGGGGGAGGCTAGGGCGCGGGTGTAAGCGGGCGGGTGGACCTAACCTACGCGTGATACCATGTTAGAATGCAAAAATGATTGACTAGTGTGAGAAACCTAGAACATATACCTGTTGGGGTTGTACTCACTAGAAGCACACACATAGGCTAGCCTATAACTTCTACATACAACATATGTATAAGTTGACACAAAGTTGCCCCTAAAAGAAGTCTGAAAATCAGAGTAACTAGAGATTTCTTGTATGATCAATCAGAGTCACTATGTTTTCAAACTCTGATTTTAATGCCGTTGTCACACATCACATCCCGCTTTCAAGTGCAGTGTCTGTTCCGAGCATGCTGGGGACAGTGGCAAAACCGGGCGAGCAGGCGAGGGAGCCAAGGATGTCCAGTCGCAGGCCTTCAAGCGGCACGCCGCCACAAACAAGCACAAACTGGCTATGCAGCGTCAGGCGAACTTGCTGCAGCAGGCGACATGCCAGCCGCGCATCGACGAGCACCCGGTTGCTGTGGACTTGGAGAAGGAGCGCGTCACAGCCCTGCTCGATGCACTACTTTTCAACTCTCAAAGCAATGAACCCATGGAAGCATGGATTCGGCTTGTCAAGTACCTCTCGAGCAAGGGTGTTGCTGGATACCCGAAGAAAGCTTACGGCACCTACCACAACTCGCAAGTGCTAGTTAATGTTGGTTGTCGGTTAGTGTTGGTTAATATTGGTGGTTAATGTTGGTTAATGTTGCTTAATATTCCCTCAATCAATGACTCCTTTGTTTGCTGTCGTTGTGACAGGTACGGTTTTGGGGAATTCACCCAGGCCACTGCGACGTGGCTGCAGACCACACAGCTTGATTACATCCGTGCAAGTCCTTACCTTAGCCTCAGCATCGACAAGTCAACGGATAGGTGTCGAGGGAAGCACGTGATAGTGTACGCTACTTTCCTGCGCGACAGCACCATCGTGACTGAGTTTTTCGCCCTTCTCACGGTCGACAAGGCGGACGCATCATCACTGCTGAGAGTCCTCCTGTCTCATCTTCAAGTTGTGGGTGTTGACCTCTTGCGTATCACCGGCATAAGCACCGACGGCGCCGCTGTCATGATGGGGGTCCGGAATGGGGTGGTCGCACGCCTGAGGATGCGAGTTCCCCATCTGGTTTCTTGTCACTGCATTGCCCACCGGTGGGTTTTGACAGCTGGTCCTCTCATGCGTTGTTTATGTCATGAGACGCTATTCTAACTGCCCATTCGTTCATTGCAGAGAGGCATTGGCAGCCAAAGATGCGGCAGATGCTCTTCCACAGTTCGGCATGATCGATGCTGTTCTTTGATGGTTGTCGGAGTTCCTTGCCCGCTCTGGACCCTGGCATTAGAGGTTCCTGGACCTGCAGGAGCTGTTCATCATGACATCGTTGGAGCTGCAGGGCATCCACAACGTCCGCTGGTTGTCCCGCGGTGAGGCCGTGCTGAGGTTGGTTGCTGTTATTTTGATGCTGCACGAGTTGAACGATGTGGCCATGTATCAACTTGTCACGAGCTATACGTTTCAGTTTCTCCTGTACTTCCTTGCCGATCTGCGTGAGCAGCTGAACGTCTTGAACAAGACATTCCAGCAGCGCGAGGTGCATTTATACTTTGATAACAATATCAATTCCATGCTAAGTTTCCCTGTAGCATTTTAACATTCCGTGTTCGTTGATTTCGCAGCTCGACATCGCCGGCGTGCAGTCGCAAATCGCCCGCACCACCAGCTTCATCGAATCCCGCTACGTCGACTGCGACGACGATTTCGGTGGGGGGCTTAGCGAGCAGCTCTCCAAGTTCCTGAAGGACCACGGCGAGGGAGGGAGCCGGAGCGTGACTGTGCAGGGTCTTGATGCTGATGGGCGACCCGTCACCCATACGTACTTCCTGCACGATGACCAGCTCGTGGGCTAAGACGGGCCATTCAACCATGACAGGTCTGTGGACCTGTGCACGGCCATGGCGGAGACCATGGTGCAGAACCTGCTGGATCGACTTGGGGACCTGGACAACTTGTCGGGCTGCCGACTCTTCATCTCCGATGGCTGGCCGGTCCAGAGGCAGGAGCGTAACGCCATCTGTCAAGAGAACCTGACGTCTCTTGTAGCCATGTTTCGGGCACAGTAGACGGACGAGATCCTGCCAGGTGCGAGCATCCTAAACTCTGGACACTCTAAGCATCTGATTGATCATATCATTGTCCAATGGTTGAGTACGTGCTGTCCGTTGTTACCCCTTGCCATGTTCTGCTTTAACTTAACCTGCCAAATTCCTCTTGCTTGTTTCCCGCATGTCAGGGATTGACAAGCGGAAGGCATTTAAGGAACTGCGGAGCTTCTGCCCTGTTTGTGCTGCTGCCCTGAAGACTGAGAAGTCGTTCCATGCGGGTCTGACGGCCATGTTGAAGACCCCGGATTGGCAAGATGCGTACCCCAATTTGGTGAAGCTTTGGGTGGCTGTTGCTGTCTTGCCACTCAGCACAGTGGAGTGCGAGAGCGGGTTCTCCCACCAAAACGTGATCAAGAGCTAGAACCGAGGTGCCATCAAGGATGCGAGGCTCTCAGATCTGATGGCCATGTCGCTGCTGAACTACGAGCCCAACTGGGAGGAGGTGGTGGGCATATGGCGCAGCTACAAGAAGCGCCAACCGTTCACAGAGGTTGCGCAGCCCAAGAAGCAGCCCACCAGTGACAAAGGCAAGCAGGTGGCTACAAAAGATGAAGCTGAAGCTGTAGAGGACAAGGAGATTGGACAGGTTATGGGGGATCAGTCGGATGACTGTTGGGATGATGAGTGATGTATATTACTTGCCAGCATGGATGAGCGCCAGGCATTGGAAATGTCAGTAGATGAATGCGAAGCCAAATTAGTTGCAGCCCAGCTATGCTACCTGTGTAGAAAAGGTGCTAGGTGCCCTAGTGATAAGTGTGTTGGTGAATTTCGTGTGGGGTAGGTTGTGTAGGTGTAGTCAGTTGCTGCCTAACTTGGTTATATGCTGCATGCATGCACACTAGTTGTACTCAGTCAGATGTTGGAAACCCAATCAAAGGTAGAAAGCAAAAGTCTACCACTGGACACTGAACTAAAAGTGTTTTTCTAGTTGAGCACCCTGTCAAATCAGGGGGAAAGCAGCCAGCCAAATTGCCCGAAAGTTGTATTGTTTTAGGTGATTCTAGGCAATCAGGGGGGTCCAAAACGAATCTGAGGGCCTGGACGACATCATCGTAATCGTTGACCGACTCAAAAAAATGGCGCACTTCATCGCCTACCAACAGAAAATTTCAGCTGAGCAAACTGCCCAGCTGTTCATCGCCAACGTCATCAGACTGCACGGACTGCCCACCGCCATTATTTCAGACCGAGACCCGAATTTCACATCGAATTTATGGCGTCACCTGTGGGACCAATTCGGCACCAAGCTACATTTCTCCTCAGCCTACCACCCACAGACTAACGGGCAGACCGAACGAGTCAACCAAACTATGAAGCAACTCATTCGGACTACCTGTACTGACCCACAGACATGGGAGAAATCCCTTCCGCTACTAGAATTCGCGTATAATAACGCGCCTTCCGCCACAACCCATCAATCCCTATTTTTTCTCAATTACGTACAGGACCCCTTGGTACCCTCTACACCAAACATCGAGACGCGCGTGCCCCGGTCCCAGCAATTTGCCGAAGACATACTCGCTTCCTGAGAAAAAGCAGCTGAGGCAATCCGGAAAGCCAACCTGGTCGCAAGCCGACAAGCCGATCGTCATCGACGTGACGTTGCTTACAAAGTGGGAGATCTCATACTACTCGACACTCGCAATTTGCGTCAGCCGATCCCGAGCAAAATCCGACCCCGATTCTGTGGTCTTTTTCAAGTGACCAATATGGTGGCACCTGTCACCGCTCACTTCCGACTACCAACGAATTGGCGTCACCACCGGGCTTTCCACGTCAGCCTACTTCGACCCTACGTTCCCAGTTCGTAGGATTTAGTACGTCAATGTATCGTACCGCAGCTAACACCCCTGCAGGAACGGACAAACGAGCCCTTGAAGATTCTCGGCCATCGAGTTACAACGCAGCAGAACCGTCGAATGGTGGATTTTCTCATCAGATTGCGTGATCGGACGAGGATGACAGCTGGGTGCCCCTCGCTGAAATAGAATCACACCCGATTCTAACAGCGTACTATCAGCATCGGAATGTTTCCGATGCCCGCGGCCTCGTTTAGGAGGGGGGGTAGTGGAAGGAATTTCCATTCCTTACTGAGTCATACGCTAGCGTGTACACTCGAACTCCTCGACTCGTCACGTTCGGCCTCATTTGTCGGCCGAACCCTTTCTCGAGTGGCGTCCGGCACTGTCGCCACATTGCCAAACCTACCCACGTTCCGAGGTTATCGCCCTAGCACGCCAACCCCTATATAACCTCGTGCCTTCATTGCAATAGCGACCTTGTATTCTCACGTTATAGTTCCTATATCATCATAACTGCTATGAATGAACAAGCAGAGTAGCGCGGAAATGAATAACGAAATGTTCACTCACTGAATGACGATACAAGGAATGGCAAGCCAAGATATAGGAACACCAGAGCTAGTCTAACCATGCGATGGTGAGGTTCGGGAAAGAGATCGAAGGGTCTCGAAGTGACGAAGCGAGGCCCGGAGAACTCCCGAAGGTCGAACTAGCAGGTTTGGAGAAGCCGAGGCGGTTGTGTCAGAAAGGTCTGGAACGGTCCTGTGGCTTCGGGTGTGTTCGAGCGTACGCGATAGCAGTACCGCTCGGTAAGGACTGGAAAATTCCTTACACCACCCCCCCCTTAGCGAAGGAGATCTTGTGAGGAAAAGGGTCACTCCAGCATAACATACTCGTGTTCTCTAAGCCATTCTAAGCCATGTGTCCCGCCTAGGCTTGGAATGGCTTGGAGAGCATGAGTTTATAGCACTGGAGTGACCCTCTTCCTCACCAGACCTGAACCCGGATATTTTTCCCCACCAGTCACGACTACTTTGACTGCTGCACCGCTCAAAGACCTACGGATCCTAGCGTGATTCTAATAGTGCAAGGATGCACTGTCAACCGTGCTATGTTACCCTAAGTTTCGTGGCAGATACGCAATTTTTCGCCACTCTGCTCGTAATTTTTACCTACAACGGTACGATGAAGACGATCCATGATAAGATGAGACCAATCGACTAATGGCATCTTTGGCCACACCTCAACATGGCTAGTCTTAGAGATAACATTCAACATGAAATCGTGCACAGTACTCTTGCATACGTTCAAATACTTCGCGATTTTCCTAGTGCTCACCCCCTTATGCAAAAGCGTGGGTCCAGGAAGAGTGCGAGAAGATCCATGTAAAGGTTTGCACTAACCTCGTAGATAACATGCCTAGGAGGGTGTAGGTGGTGATCAAGGCCAAGTGTCGGTTGACTAGGTACTAGGTTTGCTAGTAACTAGTTTGCTGCCTGTCCCCGGTACAAATTGTCCGGATGTGCTGTTATTAAATGTTGTCGTCTTGAAGGACCATGAAATATACTACTCTGGTTTTAGGAGATTTGAGTGAGTGCTCTAACTGCTCCTCTCTACGTGTATGGCCACCATGAATTAAGGCTTAATGTTTATGGCGTACAGCTCGTCAAAATAAAAAAATATGCTAAACATGTGGACAATTGTTTCCGCCACTGTATATCAGCCACGTGCTTGCGATCCAAATAATTCGCAAGTATCGAAGGTGACTGTATCTAGTCCGAAGGCACCCACGTGTCGTCCTCACTGGTACGATTGGCCCATCGCATCAGAAAGTCAACGTGTCGTCCTTGACCGTTGATACGAATGCGATGGCTCAAGATTTTCGAAGGCTCGATGGTCGTCTCAGCTGGTGGCCGTACATCTGGGACCAATCGCTGTCGGGCGATGTCCGACGTGTCAGGAACGAAGGGTCGCAACAGGCTCACGTGGAACTTGTTGTGAATACGCCAGTCATCAGGTAGGCGTAACTGGGCGGTCACCGGCGTCACCATCTTCATGATTTTGAATGGGCCACAGAAACATGGTCGTAATTTCGTCGGTAGTGGCAGTCGTAAATTCTTGGTGTCCAAAAGGACTAGTTGCCCTGCTGCCATTGTAATATCCCGTCGATGTAAATCCGCATACCGTCGGGCAGTTGCGTTCGCCTTGCGAATAAGTTCGACAGCTTTGACTCCGGCAGTCTGTAACTCTTTGACGAACTGCTGCGATCGTGGTACTTGACTCTCAACGTTGGTGGAGACTGGTACTGTAGGGTCCATCCCGTAATTGAGATAAAATGGGGAGGGATTAGTCGTAGCCGAGGGCGCGTTGTTGTAGGAAAATTCCAGCATAGGCAGCACGTCCTCCCATTTTTTCCGGTCGGGGCAGTTTGTCCGAATCAACTGCTCCATCCTTTGATTTGTCCTTTCAGTCTGGCCGTCAGTTTGGGGATGATACGCGGATGAAAATTGCAGGTGCGTGCCATACCGAGCCCACGTGTCATGCCAGAATTTCGACGTGAACTTCGGGTCTCGATCGCTAATGATTGCTGCTGGTATCCCGTGTAGACGAACAACGGTCGAGATAAAGAGGCGCGCGGTTTCTTCGGCTGTGATGGTTGTACGACATGGTGCGAAATGTGCCATTTTCGTCAGTCGGTCGACGACAACCAAAACTACGTCGTTTCCACTAGGTCCGGCCGGTAGTCTCGTAACGAAATCCATCGTTACGTGTTGCCATGGGCGTTGAGGTGGCTCGAGGGGCTGCAACAGTCCTGTAGGTCGTTGGTGGGAGGATTTCATTCGCTGGCAGATCGGACACGCGGCCACGTAACGCTGCACGTCCGTCACCATATCTGGCCAGTAATAAAACCGCTGCAACGCCTTCAGAGTTTTATCAACCCTGAACTGTCCCGACAAATTCGAATCGTGGACTTCTTGAATTAATAATTTGCGAAGTAGACGATAACTTGGGACCCAAATTCGACCAGTTCCGCTTCGTAAGTAATAGACGCCTTTCCGTGTAGTGATTGGGAGATGGCCGTCGTTTAAGAAGAATGTGTCAGTCGAATACCCGTGGGTAAATAGTCCACTTAGTAGCGGGTTGCTCTGGGCGACTAGTACTGCAGCGAGTTGGGCAGATGGTCTGGAAAGGGCGTCAGCAATATTGTTGGCGCCTTTTTTATACGTAATCTTGTATGTGAAGTTGGACTCCAGATAGTCCAGCCAACGTATCTGCCGCGAGTTGAGATTCGGCTGCGCTCTTAGGTACTGTAGTGATTTGTGATCGGTTCGCACCGTCACGTCTGCTCCAGTCAGGTAGCACCTCCAGATTTTGAACGCGTGGACGATCGCCAGCATCTCCTTGTCGTGTACTGGGTAGTTGCGCTCAGCAGATTACATTTTCCGAGACTCGTACGCGATTGGTTGAAGCCCATTGCCGAAAACCTGCATGAGCACGGCTCCGATGGCGATGTCACTTGCGTCGGTGATGACTTCGAAGGACCGTTCCGGGTCAGCGATGCGAAGTACCGGTGGCGACATTAAATGATTTTTTAATGCCTCGAACGCAGCTTGCTGCTTCTCCCCCCACTCGTAAAAAGTCCCCTTCTGCAGTAGGTCGGTTAGTGGTCCAGTTAACCCCGCCATGTTGGGTATAAACCGCCGCACGTAATTCACGAAACCCAAAAAGGATTGCAGCTGCTGTAGATTGGTTGGTGGTTGCCATTCCTGAATAGCCCAGAGTTTTTTCGGGTCTATCCGGATCCCCTCCGTGGAGATCACATGCCCCAGGAACTCCAGTTCATGTTTTAAAAACTCGTACTTGGAGCCCTTGGTGATGAGACGATGCTGCTGCAACCGCTGAAAAACCACTTCCAAATCCTTCAAATGTTGCTCCCGGGTCTTGCTGTAGATCAGGATGTCGTCCAGGTAAATTATCACGCATTTGTCGAGTAGATCGCGGAACACCCCATTCATAGTGAGTTGAAACGTTGAGGGGGCGTTCGTTAATCCAAACGGCATCACTGTGTATTCGTAACTCCCGTAGCGAGTACGAAACGCGGTCTTGTGGCAGTCGTCAGCAAACACCCGAATTTGATGGTAACCGCCGCGAAGGTCGATCTTTGAAAAATAGCGAGCTCCGCGAAGGTTGTCGATCAGATCGATTGTGCGCGGTATTGGATAGCGCGATTTTATCGTTACCCGATTAAGGGCGCGATAGTCCGTACACATGCGAAGTCCGCCGTCCTTTTTTTGCGTGAACAGGATCGGTGCTGCGAATGGTGACGTGCTCGGCCGAATGAACCCTTTCGCCAGCAGATAGTCCAACTGGTTTCGTAACTCCTGTAGCTCCGGCTGAGTCAGGCGCCATTGCGTGCGTACAGTAGGCTGCGCGCCGGGCTCCAGCTCAATTTTGTGGTCCTGGGGTCGTTCGGGTGGCAGTCCACTTGGCAAGTCATCCGGAAAAATCTCAGGATATTCCCGAATGATTTTCGCCAAGTCATTCGGGATCGAAGTGCAGAGTTTGTTGATGTCGGTCGCCTCGTTTTGCTCCGTCGATTCGGTTAGATGGACGGCGTATAAATCCGCTCCATTCTTGACCGCTCGATTGAGGCACACCGCGTTGACTCGTGTCGATGTTGTCTCTGCTTCCGGCTACGTGGGTAACTTTCGCCAGCCTTTGTCGCACTTCACTGTGCACTCACCTGTTGTCCAATCGATCTGCGGGTTGAATCGTCGCAACCAATCGCGTTCCAATAGCACGTCGTAGCCGTCGAGCGTTGTCGCCAGCATCGGCGCGCTGAAACCAAAATCTTCGCCACACTTCATTCGGACGACACGTACTTTGTCGCGTATCGTCAGTGGGGTGCCGTCCACCAATCGTGCGTCGATTTCGGGCAGACACCTCTCCAGCGTCAGGTGAAGTCGTCGTGCTGTCTCTCGATTTATCAGGCTGTGACTCGCACCGCCGTCGATGAATATTTTTATTTTTCTTCCGTTGAGTCGTCCCTCCGCCAGTACAGGGTGGTCCACTGGGTAATCCCCCTTATTCAGCCAGGAGCGGTTGATAGCATGTATCGGAACCACTACCCGGCGGGGATGGTGTTTTTCGGGCGATGAGGCAGGGTCAGTAGGGGGCCCGACCGCTACTGACGCTTGCCGTTTCCCGACCTGCCTTCGTCGTCCTTCTTTATCTGCTTCTTTCGGGGGCAATCGTGAGATTGGAGACCCAGCTGGTGGCAGTTGAAACATTGTCCCTTGCGAAAATCTTCCATGTGCTCCTTCGCCACTACGCCGTGAATCGTGGGCTGTGGATTCTGGCCACGAAAACGATTTCCCTCCCGGGAACCCGCTCTCGCATACGCCCGATGTGCGTCGAAAGTATCTGCGATCCGGACTGCTTCGTGAAACGTCGCCGGAAGTCGCAGTCGGACCTCGCATTTTATGTCCTGCTTCAGACCCGAAATGAATCGACCTTTCTTCTCGGAGTCATGCATGTCGGTGATTTGATCGCATAACGCCATGAAGACCGACGCGTAATCCTAGACAGAACTCCACTGGCGCCAGTTGTCCAGCTTCGTACGTGCGTTGTCCGAGGCGGATATTGGCTCGAACCGTTCACGCAGAGCTGTACCCCACGCCTTCCACGTGCGAATCTTGGTCGATCCAAAAATCGCGATTTTTGGATCAGCAGACCCAAAGTTTCCGAAAAACCCCTGTGTGTCGCCTGCCGAAAACTCCCCCTCCTGTAGAGTATATCGCCACCAATCGAGCGCAGGTCCCCGCAATAGTGATACAGCCAGTCGAATTTTTAAATCGTCAGCAGTGATCCCAGCGGCATTAAAATAAAGTTCCGCCGAAAATAACCAGCCCGTAACAGTAGTATTCTTATCTGTGGGGTTGAATGGGGACTGCATTGTCGGTTTGATCGTCGTTGTCGTCACGATCGGCATAAACGCCGGTACGGCTACAGTAGCGGCTGCTTCTGACCGAGCGGCTGCTGCTGCTTCGGCTGCTGCTCGTGCTGCCACGTCAGCTGCTGCGGCGGCTTTACTGTCCTTGCGCTCCTGTGACACCTCACGTGCGATTTCGTCCAAGACGGTTTCAACACGTCCGGTGCTGGCAACCTCTTCTTGGGCGGCAGATTTCTGACGCGAATCTTCTCGCGCCTGGCGTAACTCGGCAACTTCTGCACGAAGTCGCTCGTTGTCCTCCAGCACTGTAGCCATGCGTGTGTTCATGGCGTTGAACTGCTCCCGAAGCTCGTTGAACCAAGCTTGGTCCATTTGGCGAATGCTCCGCCGGGGCAGGGGGAAATCCGTAATGTGCCTGTACTCAGGTAAGCGTAAACGCTATCGTAGTTGGGCGAATTAATCAATCTAATTCACGAGCAACCGCTTTGCAGCTTACGTGAGGGACTTACCCCCCCCCCCCCAAAAATCAACTCACGAAAAACGGGTGAGTGGCTCTGATTACCAGGGGTTATGAATGAACAAGCAGAGTAGCGTGGAAATGAATAACGAAATGTTCACTCACTGAATGACGATAAAAGGAATGGCAAGCCAAGATATAGGAACACCAGAGCTAGTTTAACCATGCGATGGTGAGGTTCGGGAAAGGGATCGAAGGGTCTCGAAGTGACGAAGCGAGGCCCGGAGAACTCCCGAAGGTCGAACTAGCAGGTCTGGAGAAGCCGAGGCGGTTCTGTCAGAAAGGTCTGGAACGGTCCTGAGGCTTCGGGTGTGTTCGAGCGTACGCGATAGCAGTACCGCTCGGTAAGGAATGGAAAATTCCTTACAATAACTGTGCTGGGTGGTTACCATTACATGCCACATGACATGGGCCGCTTCCTGAACTCCACCTCTGCCGCCTACTCCACTGCCTGCAGAATGCAGCCATGCGCGTCCTCGAGGAAGCGTGGTCCCCAGTCACCATCTTTATTGTGTTCTGGTCTGACACCATTCCCCGTCAAACCTAGCGAGATCTCCTGCCGTGGCCGTCAACCTTACGCCATGGACGGCGCGCCTCCTCGACCTGCCCTGCCCGTCATCGACTATGCCGACCTCCGCGCCGCTGCCATGGCTTTCGCGCACGCACTTGCCGGCCCTCCCCCCGTCCCACCACCTGTCATCGACCCGACGGGAGCTTCGGTAGAAGGTGACGCCTCGATAGAAGCATTAAGCCTCGGTGCAGCCTCCTGTAGAGGGGATTCCGACTCTACTGTGAAAGACGCATGTGCAAAAGACGAAGGTTCTCAGTCGCGAGGCCGCAGCAGAGGCGAATCGGGTGCGGCAGGTGGCGACGACGCGATGGCTGTCGCACGGCGAGTCGCACGGCAGTTGCTGGACTGCTTCGGCCCGGCCGGGTGCGGCATAGTGGCGATTAAGGACGTGCCGCATGTGGAGGCGGTGCGGCTGCAGCTGCTGCCTCTGGCGCGACGGGTCGCGCTCATGCACCCTCGATGCCGCAACGCTTTCCTGCGGGTGAGAGGCAGGCGCCTTCACATGGGCGCCAAACGTAACGTAACGTATCCAGCCGTGCAGCCGCTGCTGACATTTGCCTCTCCTCGGCCCCTGTTTCATGCTGCTTGTGTGTGTGTGTGTGTTTGTTCTCTTCTACCCCCCTCCCCCCCCCCCCCCACCACCCCCCTCCTCTTCCCCCCTTCTCGCTCTCGCTCGGTCTCATCCATGCCGCATGCCGCCTGTCAGGAGTACGGAGTGGGGTCCGACATCCCTCTCAGCGACCCCAGCCGCCCTGTGTCGTCCTTCTCTATCAACGTGCCTCTGCCTCTGCCCTCTCGTCCTCGTCCTCCTCGCAGCACAGCCGCTGCAGACAGCAAGACAGTCATGCGCACTGCTCATGCGGCGAGTCCGGGCGTGGTGCACACAGAAGCGCGCCCTGACCACGCCACACCAACACCGGCAGATGGTGCTTGCACTGCGTCGTCGCCATCATCACCATCGTCCTCCTCCTCCTTGCCCTCTCCTCCGGGCCCTTATCATCCGCCATGTTCCCTCCTCTCGCCTCTGCTGCAGCCCCCTGCCCATGGCATGTGCGCCATCCCCCCCACTAGCGCCGCTCCCCCCTCTCTCCTGCGCCCTCTCATGCTCCGCCTTGCCTCCCACGCCTCCCATGCCGCGCTGCTCGTTGCTCTGCTCTGTGACGCTGCACTCAATCGCTCCCTGCCGCCCTGCCCTCACTCGCTCATCCCAGCAGCAGCCAGCTCGCCGTGTGCTGCTTCTGCTGCTGCTGCCCCACGCTCTTTTGCTTTGCCCGCTGGCCGAGATGCACTGCCGAACAGCTGCGCCTGCAGTCACAACAGCAGCAGCACCAGCAGCAGCAGCAGCAGACACAGCAGCAGCAGCAGTGGCGGTGACGGCGGGGGTGAGAGTGGAAGCGGATGTGACGTTGGGAGTGAAGCGGTATGGGGAGCAGAGCAGCAGAAAGCGCAGGGGAGAGGGGAGGTCCGCCTGCTGGGGGCATTGGCAGGGGGCACAGGCAAGGCGCGGCTGATCCACTACCATGCATGGGGGGAGCTGCAGTGGGGGCGTGGGGGCGGGGAGCAGAGAGGAGCGAGGGCGACAAAGAGGAGGGAGGGGAGTAGGGGCGGTGAGGTGGAGCAGGCAGGGCAGTGGCCTGTGTGTGAGCATGTGCGGGGAGCAAGGCAGAAGAAAGGGGGGAAGGGAGGGGAGGTGAGAAACAGCCACATGGGAAGGTGTGCTGTGATGAGTGAGGGGTCGGAGGGGGTTGAAAGGGATCCGGCACAGAGACGATATCCAAATCAGCAGCAGCAGCAGCAGGAGGAGGAGGAGGCAAGGAGCTGTGATGGTGATGACGATGTGAGGTTAAGAGCAGAGGAGCGGCCTGTGAGCCATGGAGGCATGAGCTCACGTGGGTCCACAGCCAGGCAACGTCCTTCGGGCCAATCCCTGGCATCGCCCTCGTCTCTCCCCTCCCCCCTTCCCCTGTGGCAGCAGTGGCACTACGACTACGGACTCTTCACCGCCCTCGTTCCCCCTCTCTACATGCCCTCTGCCGCCCCCACTGACTTCCACCTCGCCTGCCCTCTCATAAATGCCACCTTGCATTCCTCACCTCATCTCCGCACCTCCACAGCTTTGGCAATCGCCCCTTCCTCCCTGGTCAACATCACTGCCGCCTGCAGCAGCAGCAGCAGCAGCAGCAGCAGCAGCAGAAACAGCAGCAGCAGCAGCAGCAGCAGCAGCGGCGGCAGCAGCAACACCAGCAGCACCAGCAGCAGCACCACCACCAGCGCCAGCAGCAGCAGCTGCGCCTCAGCCATGTGCGCGGGTCTGCACGTGTGGGACCCACTGTTCCATGCGCCTGTGTGTGTGGAGGTGCCAGCGCGCTGTGTGGCGGTGCAGGTGGGCGAGGCCGCTCAGGTGCTGTCGGGGGGGCAGCTGAGAGCCGCTGCACACACTGTAGTGCGACCAGGGGGGTGTGCTCATACTCATTCTCATGCTCACGCGGGGGTGAGGGAGACAGCAGCAAGAGCAGCAGCAACAGCAGCAGCAGATGCAGCAGCAGGAGCAGCAGGAGGAGGAGCTGCAGGGCAGGCGTTGCGTCGAGACGATATGGCAGACGGTGGTGGTGTGGCAGTGACTGCTGTGGAGGGGACTGAAGGCACAGCACCAGATGCTGAGCGTGCACAGATCCGCGCCCTTGACCCCTCTCAGGCACCGGACTCGGGACCGCAAGGCAATGCAGGGAACCATGGAGAAGGTGCCTGCTGTTCGCCTGCAGTCATCCACCCTGCATGCGCGTGGGGTCGTGACATGCTTGCTGTATTCCTGCAACCGCCCTGGGACCTGCCTCTATCTCCTCCTACTGGCGTCCTGCCCCTCCATGTCATCAACGGCCCGCCCTCCTCCACCTCCATTAACTCCTGCCCCTCCTGCCCCTCCTGCCCCTCCTGCCCCCCCTGCCCCTCCGGCCACTCATGCCACTCCTCAGTCACATGCTCCTCCCTTTCCTCCATGCCCTTCTTATCACTTTCTGTCTCACCACCCACCTCTCTCCCGCCTCCTCTCCCATCCCCTTCCACCTCGCCATCTCCCCATGCTCTTCACTCCACCCAACCTACTCCCTGCTCGTGGCAAGAGGCTCCGGAACTTTCTGCCACGGCACAGGACATAGCCTCGGTGGTGCCAAGGCTAGAGGACCGGTGGAAACCTGGCTGCTCGTTTGCGGAGTTTGCCAAGGCCACAACGCGAGGGTACTATGGTTCGGCAGGCATTCAGGCAAATCAAGCCAGCAGCGGCACCAGCGCGTCAGAGTGGAACGGGTAACAGGTGGAGAGACACGGTGCGGTGCGGAGATAGTGAGGAGGGGGCAAGCCCTTTAAGGGGCTTCAGTCCAGTAGTTGGCTGATTGAACACGGAATATGACATGGCAACCTCAAGGGTTGTTGGCCTTCACTCTTATGCTGCCATGGGAAGAGGTGTGAACATGCCTGGTCAAACTGGAGCGCTCTTTCTGCGCACATGCTATCCTCGGCGCTAACCAGCTGGGTGTTTCCTTGGGTCAACAGGAGACGGAACTACAGAACTTGATCCCTACCAAGCTTCTGTTGTCTTATCTGCATCTACTCTAGTAACAACTAAAGCGTTTGTCCAAGATGGGTGTCAACTAGTGAGCCATCTTATCTGCATCTACTCTAGTAACAACTAGAGCGTTTGTCCAAGATGGGTGTCAACTAGTGAGCCATCCATCTTAGTATGATATAAATACAATGATCTACGTAGAGGTACCGTAATTCGGAAATGTAAAATCCCTGAAATTCCAACTCAAACGGCGCCCTACATGACCCGGCCAGATTCATCGGGTTACCGCAGCAATGTGAACGCAGTCCCGGTGTCAGTGCAGCTGGACGAAGCGCGAGCACATAAGCCGGCCCGCGTCTATTCCGCCTTGGAGAGCGTGAGGAGGGGCGATCCGCCCCACAGCACGGTGCGGTTGGCGAGAGTATTGAACATCGAGGCCGCCGACATGTAGAGCGCGGCGATGGAGGTGAGGAGCAGCGCGTAGCCGGAGGCGGCGGTCCAGCCGTGGCCGGGGGCGTCGTTGCGGAAGCAGCCGATGACGAGGAAGACGAAGAAGAGCTCGAGGAGGAAGAAGGTGAGGAACGCCACCTTGGACAGCAGCAGCGTCAGGAACGTCATGTACGTGTTGAACACCAGAAACGCCGACAGAAACCACCCCAGCGCCTTCATCGAATCGAACCCCGCGGGCGCCTGCACGCGCGGAAGCACACAAACGACGTCATTAAAATGAGGCAATGCGAAATGCGGGAGCCTGATTGGCAAGGAAATGTCGCGACGACAAGCGAAGCCGAGAACACGCGGAACGGCGAAAGAGGGCGCGGGGGCTTACGAGGCCGAGCTTGTCGAGCAGCATGAGCATGGCGACGCCCATCCAGTAGCAGCCGTAGGAGGAGTAGGACGTGGCGACGAAGACGTTGCCGCGCTTGAACTCCCACATGCCCGCCACGAACTGCCCCACGCCGCCGTAAAACACGGCCAGCCCGATCCAAATCACGTCCGGCGCCCAGTCTGCCAGGAAAACGGAAAGCGGTCAGTCTATAAAATTTCGAGCTTCTGAAATAAGAAGAAAAAAAAATGTCTACAAAATTCTCTGCCGCGGTGCGTACTTGTGAGGTGCACGGCGAGCACGAAGGTGGTGACGAAGAAGGAGGAGAGCCCATGCGGGCCGACCTCCGCCACGAGGTCCTTCTCCACCGCCACGCGCACCCCCGCGTCCACGCTGCCCAGACCCATGCTGGCGACCACGAACGACGAGACGATCGAAGATCAGCGAAAGGAGGCGCGAGGCGAGCGACGAACGAGGGAGAGCGACGAAGAGCACGAGTGAACCGCGATTGCAGAACGCTGATTGCTGCTGCTGAAGCTGGTAGTAGATGCGAGGGAGGGAAGTGAGCGAAAGCAAGTGTGGTGTGAAGTGAAGAAGTGAAGCGCGCGTTTATAGTCGAAGGTGGATGGAATGGCGAGGAGAGAACGCCATGAAGTCGGGGGAAGGAGCACAAGGCAGAAACTCTCGGGGTAGGGAGAGGTGCGGAAGTCAAGAGATCCCCGAATTGTTTTTGCGCTGGTTTGGGAAGATCCTCGAGTCGCGCGCAGTGGCCAGCTAGACGAGATACCGAGGCGCGCAGCTCAATAGATAAGCACTGGTGTCTCCAGCGAGGCAGGAGGTGCGGCGCATTAGATATTCAAGAGCTATCACGTGGCCAATCACGTGTTGCACGTCTGCAGCTGTCACGATGAGACGCCTAGCTGACTCATGAAAGGCCAGGCAAAGGGCCAATCGAAACGAAAGGTACCTTACCGAGATCCGTGTTAGGTGGACCACGTGTGGATGGAGCCCTCCCATGTGGGTCGCTTCTGCAAAAAGATCGGTTTTTTTTTTAGTTGACAAGGCAGCCACCTCGACGAGCCGCAATCTCGCAGGTCAGCAGAGTAGTGATCTTCCGCACGAATTCCACGCACCGCAATGCCAGCATCGCGAACATTTTGCTATCTCCGCTCCGCACGCACGCGCCACATTCTTCTCCGCACCGCTAACATTTTCCTCATCCCCCAACCCCTCTTCCCCCGAGGACGTTTCCCCCATCCGTTGCTTGATTCTTCCCTTCCCTCCTTGCTGCTAGTGACCATCACTTGCACAGCGGAGAGCCTCGGCGCACGGAAATCCGCGGATCGTAAATTGCTGCTCGCCCGCCTTCCCTAGGACCTCCGCCTCCGCCCGATCGTCCGCCAACGTAGTGTCCCATGCACCCTCGACATTCAGCAGCCGTGAGCACTACTTATCCCAGCGCATTTCTCCCATAACTCATTCTTCAGCCTGCTAAGCATATTTCCACTTTCGCCTTCCTTCCAGCTGTCCTTCAAAGTCGTCTTCAGCAACGCTCGTCAATTTCTCAAGGCGTCATCTCCTCTCACTCGACCAGCCTTCGCGCAGCGGCAGCATTCTCCCCGCGGAAGCCGTTCCGCTCCCCGCGCCAGCATGGGCATCGAGGACGGCCTTCCCGACGACGTGCGCGTGGTGGTCGAGAAGTCGCTGCCGGCCGATGCGTCTGCCTTCGGTCTTGGAGCATTCGCGGGCACGATGTTTATCCTCTCGTCCTACCTCGCCGGTACGCGCTTTTAGCGCTGATAACATTTCAGTGTCGCAAATTTAATGCTACGTTTCTTCCCGGTCTCGGTATCGTATCTAACCATGCTTCTCGCTCCTGCCTCTGCTCAGGGTGGGCGCCGGACGTGACGTGGGTGACGGTGGCGCTGTTCTACGGCGGGTTGGGGCAGTTCGTGGCGGGCATGTGGCAGTACAAGCGCAACTGCGTCTTCTCCTCCACCTCCTTCTCCACCTACGGCTGCTTCTGGCTCTCGCTCGGCCTCTTCTACTGCTTCAAGCTCTGGGGATGGGTACGGAAACTTTGCACTCCACTCCCATGCTCTCCTTGTCGCGGAAAATGTTTGGGATTTTTCATGCAAAAAATGTTACTCTCGTGCTTTTTCCTCGGCCTTTTCCAGAACGAATTATTCGTTGTCTTATATGCACCGCCTTATGTTTTTTCTCCGCCGTGCGTGTGCAGTTGCCGGCGGACTACGACGTGTCGGGCGCGGAGGCGTGGTTCCTGGTGGCGTTTCTGCTCTTCAACACGTACATGCTGGCGGCGGCGTTCACGCTGTCCGTGGTGAACGTGGTGGTCTTCGGCCTCTACGAGCTCACGCTCGTGCTGCTCATCATCGGCGACTTCAAGGGCCAACCCGTAGACGGCGGCGCCTCCTGGATCACCGCCGGCGGATACGTCGGTGTCTTCACCTCCGTCTCTGGTAAGCCAAGTTAAAGTGACTTTTCTAACTATTGCTGGAAGCTGAATGGTGCGGACGGATTATGCAAATCTTCGGCTGACCTGACATCGTCGCTTTTTTCAATTCTTATTCGTGCAGCGTGGTATGCATCCTTCGCGGTGCTGTTTAATGGCATGGTCAATCGTGAGATCATGTATCTCGGCAAACCGCTGATCTCGCTCAAGCAGGAATAACTTCCGTTTCGCCGGAAGCTGGTCGTTTAGCTTTACATTGCTGTAGGATGAGGCATGCAGACGATAGGCCAATCGCGGCCGCCACCCAGTGTAGATGGTGCAGGGTTCTTCTGGAGATAGAAGTATATATGTACTAATGCATTTGAGTGACGCTTCCATGTTTTCGAAACCATACAGCAGGATGAACCTACGTGCTTTGTCGGAGTTGTTATAGATGACGTTGATCAAATGGGAAGACTTCTCCACTGGCAACAAATTATAAGTGGCAATACTAGTACGAGATGGTCAGAAACGCGCTACTACTGCATCTTCAGTCTTAGAGAGCTGATCTGATCTCCTACGAAAATAACTTGCAATGATGCTCCTGGTCTCCTGCTAAGTACATGAGTGGACAGGACAATAAGTCGCAACGGATATTAGTCCATGAGTGCTACATCAGTGCATGTGTGTGGGTGAGGCTACTGCATAAGTCGGAGACAAGGGAAAGGGAGTGAGAGAAAGCTAGTGGGGGGTTGTCGAGTGAGGGGGGCAGAAGAGAAAAAGATTGGTGGCTACGGGAGTAGTGTGAGAGTCCAGTTACCTTCTCTGGAGTCACATTCGGAAAGGAATGGTTTTTTTCAAATCTGAGAAGCACGGAATCGATATCAGCAATAAATTAAATAGTCAAGGGGAAAGGCCTTATTTGCATCCATTACATACCTTGCTCCCAAGATGTCAAGGGTACAATCCAGATATAGTTGGCTGTATTCAGCCTTCTTAAAAAAATCGCCACTTAAGGCAACAATCTTGTCCCAGTGCTCATGTGCTTTTGATGGTTGATATGGCAGCAAGATGTCCCAGTCAACATACGATCTGCACAATGAGAACGATGTTTAATCAGGAAACACTAAGGAAACCAAACACGAGACCTGATTTGGTGTCTGGAGTCTAAAAACGACTAATCTTTCCTCATAGTGAAGCTCCATGAGGTGCCGCACACATCAATAGCACGAATCTCAAGGAAATCAGGAATCAGGTGCTGAAAGAACGTCTCGACCTGCAAGGTGTTGTTAGAACGCTGTTCAACACCTGTTAATAAAATCTAGTGCATGCTGCGACACTTACCAATGGAGAACGAGCAAAGTCCAAAACGCTTATGATGCTTCCTTTGTGCAGGAATGGTCCTGCCAACTTGAGCTGTTTTGGGATAAGATCTAGTGCGGTGACAGATGACAACAAAAACCTCGCAGTAGGAGTACCTGGTGCGCCAAAACAGGAAACCGTGAGCCTCCATGGAGGACGAAAACATCGATTGGCCTTCCCTCCCAGGCCTCGGGCTTCAATACCTGTTGAAAGACAACGGTCAGACAATCCACATGAGCCAGAAGCTGTGAAAACAAGTCGAACCTCTGAAAACAACCCAGGGACGGGAGTGGCAGTCGGATCGACAGGAAGCACAGCAGCTTGCCAGATTGCCAAGGTGCTCTTTCCAACGCCATGGGTCTTCACAGACTTGCAAGGCTTGGTGAGCGGCAGATTAAAATAAAGATCCAGTGGCTTGCTGAACATAGTCTCGTTCCCGAACAGTGCAAGTTTCAAATCTCCCTCTGATCCATCTGGAGCAGCCAAGCCGGAGTTCCTAAGCTTCTCTGAAGTAATTTCGCCTTTCCGCAATAACTTAGCCATCGTCTTCGCCTTGTTTAAGAGCTTTCTGCCAACCCCTGGAACCTGTGACTCGCCACCAATATGCGCTAAGACCTTTGCAAAATCATAATCAGACATGTCGTTGCGATCACCCAACATATCCAAATCTGTCGCCTCAGAGAGAGCTCTTAAAAGGTGGCTCTCCGAGTCCATTTTCTCCCGGAGTGAAGAGTCCTTAAATGTATCAAATGAGAAGAGTCTTCTCTCGTTATGTCTGCCAGCCACATAGAGTCCAGCAGCAAGACACCTTGAATACTGGCCAGCCCAGGCTCCAAGCTCAACAATGACCCCTGCATCAGATTACGGATTGTTAAAGAGCAATTGAAATTAAGGTCGAAGTTGCTAGTGGTACCTGAGCCTCTGCATTCCATGGCTGCCAGGAGGAGGGACTCGCAATGCTGCCGTTCCTGGGCTGGTATTACGGAGCCATCGTCAAACCTGAAAATATTAGTGGAAACTGGTCTCGCCGTCGTGTTGCGTGATTGTTCCAAGCTCCGTAAAAAGTCTTTAGGTAAAGGTATTTCCAGATAATTTTGATGAGCATGATCTTTGACCAGTTCAGCACGGTCACTCTGGGTGAGAGAGCGGCGAGGCGAGTAGCTCATGCTGCGAGGATCGGAATCTAAGGTTTTCCTTGTCGGAACTCTACCCGTGGTTGACTTTTCGACAACAAAAACCAGGAGCGACAGCAAGAAGGTGGATGCAACGAGGATTGGCAAATGGCAGCAACGTGAGGCCTTCACATCATTTCTGGTCGTCGATTGGCTAGAACGAGGAATGGGCCCCACTCTTTCCATCGTAGAACCTTCTGAGACCCTCCCCAATGTGCTTTGGGAAGATAGTCTTCTCTCCATGAATACCAATTCCACATGTGTTCTTGTGGACAGATGCTGCTGCACGGAATGTCCTTTTCCACTGCCAGTTTTATGGAAGGGAGGTCGCATAACAACAGCGAGTAACAGCATAGGTTTGTGGATGTCGCGTTATTGCATAACATCATAGGTTTCAGCGAGTAACAACTACAGACTCCATCATCATGTCAATGCCTTATCCAGAAATCTGATGCTAATTAAAGGGTAGGCATTGGTGCTCTTCACCTGCATTATATGTCCCAAGGCAGTGTATTTTATATTATTATAGAGCCTGATGTGCTTTAATTCTCCTTTCCTTAATACCCATTCAGATGTTTACAAATGTCCATCATTATGTACCCGTATATTATAACCCCGATGCTACACCAAAAGCATCTTGCTTTACTGTAGTCTAAAATCCTCGCAGTGAGCCATTGCTGTGGGACTATCAGAACTCAGGGTAAGTGCTCCTCCCACCTCAGACGGTCACGTCCGTCGTGGCAGTCCACGTGTTCACGAGTACGATTGTCACGTCACACGTTTTCGTGGTGCCAGTCGTTTCGACAACCAGCGACCGCCAGCGAAGTTCGACACTCTTCGTGACCAGCTTCCTGTGCCATTCGAATCGCAAATGTGGCTAGGGCCCCCTGGTTCCGGTTGTTTCGCTTTGTTACGTAATTCGCACACTTCGTCTCGTCCGTCCGTCTACGTTAGCCAACCAGGACAAGTTCTCATCAACCATCCAAACCTTCCCAACACCCCCCTGTCCAGTAATGCGGGAGTGTGGGACCGCCAAGATGGTTTGGCGTGATCAAGGTGTTGTAGAAAGTGGTTTCATCAGCTTTTCCGTCTACGATTCGTCGGTGCATCGTCGAACGAACAGTGGTCCCCTCCCACAATCGTGAAGATCCCGTCGTTGCCCCCTTTTTTGTCACCAATCACCCTTTGTGCATCTCTTGGGTGTTTTCATCCCTTCGACCAGCCTTATCTAGTCTGCACGCTGTGGTGTGTTTGTTTCACTGACCATCTCTGCCTCGCTACCACCGGAGACATGGAGGCCTCCGTTGGGGTTCTGCAGTCAAGCTCTGTTTCCTCCTCATCCTTCTATGGATCCCGGCTTCATGCCAAGCCGTCTTCTCTGCCAACGCAAAGAAATGGCGCTGGCGCTGTTTCAGTTCGTGCTGACATGTGGAAGAAGCTTGGTGGACGAGGCCTGGTTAGGGAGGACGTTTTGAAGAGCGATAAAGCCAACGAGGTTCTGTGGAACCAGCCAGCAAGACCCGCAAAGGACTCAGCGAAAGAGAAGCTGCCGATCGACAAGGAACTCGACGGCTTTGACAAGGAGCTTGACGGCTTGACCGGCGGTTTTCCCGGTGGCGAGAAGGTGAGCCGTAGTAACAATGTCGTGATTAAGGTCTCACCGTGGTTAGTTTGCTTCTGTGTGTTTGTCGTGTCTAGTGCTGGTAAAAATGTCTTGGCCAATACATATATCGCCGATTGCGTCACCCCTAGTATGCTCGTGCTCAGTACCAGATGACATCGACATGTTGTGAGCCTTCAATGTTACCCTTTGAAGTCAATCATAGCGTGTTTAGGCCTCATAACATTCCCTCCTACACATCAGTGTATGTATAACGTTTTTCGTCTGAAGAGCTCCTGTTTTCTCCATTCAGAAGTCAAAAGTCCATGCCACCAAAAGTCAAAAGTCCATACCATCAAAAGTCCTCTCAAACGACCACCGTGTTTCATTCCAATCAACCCACTCTCCTTCTGATATTGACTTCCTTCCAGGGGCTCGCTCAATTCTTGAAAAACAACCCCTTGCCAGCGAAATATGCGAAGGTGTCGTCGGAGCTCGCGGAGGCACAGAGGCGGCTGTCCGAAGCCGCAGCTGCCGTCGCCTCCTCCGTTCCCAAGCCTCTTGCGCCACCGCTGCTGATGCCCGGCATGACTGTTCAGGTTACCAATCCCAAGGATCCCTACTACCAGTTTTCTGGCATCGTCCAAAGACTGACTGATGGGAATGCCGCAGTGCTGTTCGAGGGTGGCAACTGGGACAAGCTGGTGACGTTCCGAGTGTCTGAACTGGAGAGGACGAAAAAGGGACCACCTGGCTCTAACCCTAAGTCCGCGTCCCTCCTGACAGACCCCGCTTTCCAGAAATAGGTTATGTAAGCACTACGCTCTGGCCATTTTTGGAGGTTATTGGACAACGATAACGGAGTCCTCCCGTCGTGCTGAAACAATGTGGAACTTGTAAATTCTTTGCTTAGAGCTAGCGTGAGTTACAGTAAGTGCTTGGTCTTATCATAGATGGCTCTGAATCAGGAAACTTGGCTGCTCTGACTCTGAGAAATGCCAGCATTGCAAACTGCACGTCACACCGAAATCAGACACATTTGTCGGTATGCTGGCAGTGACTACCAAGCATATCCATTACAGATACACAATCTCTCATCTGCAGAGAACTTAAACCAAATACAGCACTGTTTCTCCCTCTTCGAGTGACCATTTACAGCCCATGTTAGCAGCAAAAGCAAACTATGGATGGGCCCTCTAGGATTTCTACTAGTTATGTTGAGCCATTGTGAAGAGGTGTCTCCCACCTGACGCTTCCAGGTCTGCCAAAGCTCTCTCAGCCGCCCTGTACCCGCCCATCAGAGCCTTGCCCACTGCCAACCCGTCCCGATGGTTGCCTGTGGGCCAAGGGTGTTGGGAGGGATTGAAACACAGAGAGGTTCATGCAGGGGCGATGGTGAGGGGAGACACGAAGGGAGTGTTTAGGGAACGAGTCATAGCTGTTGCTTTGTGCTCTCCCGTGAGGAAATAGCTGGGGCTAGCAAACATGTGAACATGAGAAGTACGCAAATACTAGAATACACAAGCAGGAGAAGGCACATCTCCTCTCCTGTCGAGGCCAGGAGAGGCCAGGTGACAATAACCCACAACTCAAACACCCACCCCAAACCACACCCCCCCTCCCCCCCTCCCCCCCTTCCCTCTTCCCAACACCCACCCGGGATCCCCACCCTGAACCCTGAGGAGGCGGCGCACCTGCCCAGTAGAAGAAAGGCAGTTGCGCCTCTATCTTGCGCATGCTCTCCAGCACACGGCCATAGCCGTGCGTCAGCTCGGGGAAGGCGTCATGCCACACCATGTGCCTGGTGCAGGAACAGACGCAGCAGCGCGCGTGGGAGACCGGGGAAGAGAGTAAACTCATGTGGGGCCTAAAAAATCAAATATATATTGCACAAAAACTCCAGCACATGGCCGTAGCCGTGCGTGAGCTCAGACAAGGCGTCACACCACACCATGTGCCTGGTGCAGGGGGAACACGGAAAACAAGGCAGGTGCATGGAAGGAATGAGGTGATGGGGGGAACAGCAGACAGCAATGCTTAGCATAATGGGGATAGTGCATGGCAGAAGGCGCATTGCTAGCAATCTGACAGCAGCAGCATTGCGACTTGGCACACACAATGCAAGGACACGCGGCAAGATAGAGCCTAGATGGGCATTACACACTACGCATGGAGAAGCAGGAAGAGGGGGCACCGGGAGAAGACAAGGGTGAGAACGGGGGAGGAGGTGGAGGTGCGTACGAGGAGAAGACGGGCTTGGCCTTCACACCGAGCAGGCGCTGCAGGTCAGCCAGAGCCATGGCGTTCAGCTGCTCCCTGCCCTCATCCCATGCCGTGCCATGCCACGCCAAGCCAAGCCATACCCATGCTCCATGCCATGCCATACCATGCCCCATGCCATGCCATGCCATGCCATGTTGAAGTTGCCCAAACATGTCCAATCACCAGGTAAGGGTGTAAACGAATGCTTGGGTATTCGGATGGTATTCAGCATTCGACGAATACCGAATTCGAATCGAATGTTAATTTAGCAATTATTCGGTTATATTCGTGCGTCGAATATTCGACGGCGACGAATATTCGTGCGTCGAATATTCGACGGCGTCGAATATTCGTAGCTCGAATACCGAATATTCGTTTCAATATCCGGATGTTGATTAAACCTTCTTCCACTGCTTCGCGATGTGCGCTTTGCATGTCGTCACCACCTATCTGAAGACAAAGCCGCGACATGAGTCTACATCGCGCGCTACGACTCCGGCTCCAAGATTGCGGAGGGATAGGATACGTTATTATGCTTGGGGTGAAGCAGTAGCTAGCAGCCTAGCACAGAAGAGACTTGCGATCGAGTTTGACTTACAGATCGTCGATATTGAGAGTATGGGGCAGACACTAGGTACATGTGTGTTGCTTGGAAGGGTTGGTGCAGTACAGAGAGTTCCAAGGCGTGGATTGTGCAACCTAGAATTGCGCAACCAGTTGCGTGCGGTGTTGGCGACTTTCTTGCCTGGATAAAAGTTTGCGAACAAACTTCGTGATCTTTGCGAAACCCGTAACCATGCTGTATTGCGCAGCTCAGTCGGATTGCGCAGCTCAGTCGGATTGCGCAACCCTAGACTCCACGCCCTCAGCCACACCTGTTTGTGTCGCAATTTGCGGGCAGGTTGATGCAAATTTTGTTGTAGCAATATCGCGCGTTGCACAACAACTGTACTAAATGTTTGGGTCAGCGTTGCAACGGCCGAAACAGTCCCTTCAATAACACATGGTCGGTTGCCAGTACCACGGAAACGATTCCGCATGGGGCGAGCCAACCATGAAGGGCGATGTGTCACGTCGCAAGGTGTGTTGGCACGTCAATTCCTAAACTTTGGGAGTCGCCCAAACAGACTTCACGCTTATTGGGTAACCCATCCCAATGTGCTACGTAAACTGCACGCATATGGAATGGCGGGGCTTCGCAATTGGTTTCATTACACGAACCTGTATGGAGATTGAACAGGTGTCAAATGATCCCGTTGCCGAAACTTCCCGCTTACAAATTTGACGATTGGAATGCCAGTGGAATTTGCGCTGTGTGGAATGCGCAACGAGAAGAATGCGGCTCGCAAAAATTCAACCCACCATCACGACCATGCAGAAACCCTCCCGACACTCCAGAGAGGCAATTTCAGCTCCAAAGAGCACATATTTGGGTTCCCCGCTTATCCTACCATTCACACACTCCAAATCTCCTCCCGGATGCTTACAGATTATGAACCATTACTTCCGAAGTATTGACGCCAGCCTCATCTTCCGCCTCCAGCCTCGTCTAGCATTTTCTTTGTAGCCATGGCTTCTACCAGCTTGCAGTCTACGCTAGGTGGTGTTAGTGCACCACGTCCTTCAACAAGCGTGCCTACCACTAGTCGTTTAACGGCCGTCCCTACTGCTCTTAATGCCAACCGTCCTGCTGATGCTGACTCCAACATGCCGCCGTTCAAGAAAGCCAAGAAGCGGACCTCCCTCATGTGGATGTTTTTAGAGAAGATCGAAGGGACGGAGAAGGCACGGTGCATGCTTTGTTCGAACAAGGGGTCGAACGTGACCATCTCGTGCAATGGCGGCTGCACCACCGCAATGAAGAACCATGTTACGAGTCACCACGCACCTCAATATACAGCAATCACTGGTGAGGATGTGGGAGCTGGTGGTAACCAAGACATTGGGAAGGCGATTCGTGGGAACACCCCGTACACGGACAAGGAGAATAGGAGGCGTTTGGTGAGGGTGATTCTCAAGGGGATTCTCTCTTTTAGGGCTCTCACTTGCCCCGAGTTGTTGGCATACTTGCAGTGGCTTGAACCGAAGGTAACCATCCCTTGTCGGGTTACGATTGCAAGTGACATTCACACAGCTTACAACGAGCGGGTGGTGTTGATGAGGATGCGTTTGCAAGGTTTGCCATCAAAGGTATCCTTCACGTGTGATATTTGGACGGCGCCCAATTTGTATGCCTACATGGCTATCACGGCGCATTGGCTTGATGAGCGCTTTAACAACAAGAGCATCTTGTTGGACTTCATCAATCTCAAGTTCCACCACACGGGTGAGGCCATCAAGAACGCGTTCGTGCGAGCGGTCTTTGATGAGTGGGGTCTTGAGAGCAAGATCATGGCCATCACCATGGACAATGCCTCCACCAATGAGAAGATGGTGAAACTTCTCGTCAAGGATCACGACTTTTCCTTTGGAAGGTACATAAGGTGCTTTGTTCATGTCATCCAACTTGTGGTGGAATGCATCTTGAAATCACCTAAGGTGGATGGTGCACTCACCAAGGTCCGTGGGCTTGCAACCCACCTTAGTGGGTCAAGCTTGAGGCATGATAAGTTTGAGGTACATTGCATTGAGAAGGTGCAAGGGCATAAGACCTCACTTGCTCATGACACCCCAACGAGGTGGGGAAGTGCCCATGCTATGGTGGTAAGGGCACGGGAGTTGAAGGCGGCCATTAACTCCTACTTGGTGGCCGAGGTGGAGGAGGAGGTATTTGAGGAGCTCCGAATGAGGGATGACGAATGGAGCACCCTCTTCGTTCTTGAGAAACTTCTCGCTCCGTTTGCCGAAGTGCAACGGATTTTGGAGGGGTCTAGGTACCCAACAACTTCCTTGTGTGTTCCATTGGTGAACTCACTCATGGATTTGTTGGAAGCCCAGGTGGCCGCCAGGGGCGAGTTTTGGGAGCCATGCAAGAATGCTCACGCCAAACTGAAGAACTACTACAACCGGACTTCGGAGGACTACACTATTGCAACCCTTTTGGACCCTAGGTTCAACCTAGGGTACTATGCTTTGGGTGCAATGGAGGGGGGCGCTCATCATGCGGCAACCTCCGTGGTGAAAGCCACAATTACCGAGGCTTACGCCGAGTACGAGGAGGTGGCGCCGCATGAGGAAGTCATGGGCGAGAGTTCAAGCCCTCTTGGAGGGGAAACGGCGGAGGGAGGGAGTGGGCAATCAACGATCTTTGGCGGCATCTTCTCAGTCCGTGGGAGGGGGGAGTCAAGTGGAGAGAATCAACTCTCTAATTACCTTGACGAAGAGAGGGTCACCGTGGAAAATGAGAAGTCGGTTGCTACATTCAAGGATTGGTGGCGTCTCCATTGCCATCGCTACCCGAATGTTGCAAGGATGGCTCGTGATTACTTGGCGATTCCGGGAACGTCCGCCGACTCCGAGCGCTCATTTTCCATTGCACGGCATTTGTTCACGGATTTCAGGCATAGTTTGAAGCCCGAAACTGCTCGGGCGTGCTTATGCTTGCGGTCTTGGAACGCTTTGGAGGATCAAGAGACTTCCACCAAGGGGAAGTAATTCAGATGCTGGAAAGCCTCAGCTGAGCAGAGGTAGTTAGAGTTCTATGGAGCTGAGATTGTCTCGTGCTATGTGTGTTAGAGCCTTTGCCTCTCTATTCAACCACCACCTTGTTATGCAATGTCATGCTATAATAATAAATCGCGCTCCATGTTTTCAACTTGGGATGTGAAAAAAGGGCATAGGTCAGGGTTTCGACTCGCTGGTGTGGGGAGTGAGTAAATACTTATCTGGTATTGACTCGTCCGTGTGGGGAGTGAGTACATACTTCTCTGGTTTCGACAAGTTGGTAAATTCGTCCCACTGGTTAACCTTGATTTATACCAGCATGCCCCTATAAATACACGATTTTTTTGTGACCACCATACCACTCGAATACATTCGCATTCGGACGGTATTCGGCACCATTCGAATGGTATTCGTATTCGTGAGGGACCTACCATTCGATCAAATACCAAAACACCAAATATTCGGCTAATATTCGGTTACAACATTCGTATTCGTATTCGTATTCGAATTTACACCCTTATCACCAGGATAGACCACAAACTGGGCAACGAGCGAATGGCATGCGTGGGAAGTGCGAGGAGAGAATAAAAGACACATGCATGCACTGCATGACCCAACCAACCACACGAGCTGTGGAAAGGCGTGCATGGCTGAGTGTGGACAGCGTGTCTGCATGCGTGTGCACAGCAGCTCAAGATGGCTGATTCCAATCGCAGCAAGCCACTCGTTCCCCTCCCACCTCTCCCCCTCCCCCGTTTCCCTCCTTTTACCCCTTTTCCCTCTCCCCCTTGTCTCCCTCTACGCCTCCCTCCCTCTCCCCCCCCCCCTCCCTCTCCCCCCCCCTCTCCCCCTCCCCCCTTCCTTTACCCCCTCTCTCTCCCCTGTCGCTGCGCATCTCACTCACACGCTAGCACTGCGCAGTCCCTTGAAGCGCGAGCCACCCACGAACGAGGCGAGCAGCACTGTGCCCTTGGGGGCCCGCTGGGGGAACATGGCGGACGAAAAGAGCGTGCCTGGGGGGGGGAATCCGAGGGGAGAAGAGGGAGAGGAAGGGGGTTGGAATGGGGGGAGGGATGGGGGGAGGAAGGGGGAAGTGGAACACAAGTAGCATGGGGGACAGGTGGTCGAACAGGGATCAAGGAAGGGAGGGCGGCGGTTGGAAGCAGAACGGTGCCCTTGGGAGGGCGTCGAGGGAACATGACGACGAGAAGAGCATGCCTGGGGGGAGGGCGGGGAAGCAGGGGTCAAGGCGCACGAGGGGTGAAGGAGGAAGTGAGAGTGAGACAAGGCGGAGCAATGGTTGGAAGGCAACAATTTGAATGGTGGGTGCAAGTTGCGTGCATGTTGGGTGCATACAGGATGCTGGTTGGAAACATGTTAGCCACAGCACGCAACCAGCATACAACCAGCACGCAACCAGCATACAACCAGCACGCAACCAACACGCAACCAATATGCACCCAACATGCAGACAACATGCAAAGAAGGTGCAATCAACATGCACCCAACATGCACCCAACATGCAGCCAGCCCTCACCTAGAACGCCTCGTCTCCCTCCCCCCCCAAAACCCCCCCTTGCCGCCCCTCACCTAGTGTTTGGAACTGGTGTGCTGCTGCTTCCTTTGTAGGCACAAGCACACCGAATCCGGGCAGGGCAGAAGAAACATCCTCCTCCCGAAACGCATTCACCAGCAGGGCCATGGACTGGTACACGGGCAGCTCTATGGAAAGATTTTGGGGCTGACCCGACAGTTTGAACGGCATGTTGACGAGGGAGGACAGAGGGGCCTGCAAGGGGTTGGGGGGAGGGATGGAGGCGTTTGGATGGGTGGGGTGGGAGGGGATAGAGGTCTGGTGGGGCAAAATGGGACATGCTGGATGTGGTGGGAAATGCTGGGCGGAAGGAAAGGTGAATGTGACGAAGTGAGTGTGACAAAGGGGTGTGACGGAGTGTGACAAAGGGATGTGAGAGAGTGTGAGGAAGATAGTTTGGGAAATGCAGATCGCACGCGTATGAGCATCAAGGCTGTGGTTAAAACGGCACGGCCGATTCACAGGCATGAAAGCATGGCACATGGAACAATGGAACAACCACACTCTCATCACATGGCTGCCATCCCCACCATCCCCACCACCACCATCCACACTATCCCCATCCCCACCACCACCATCCACACTATCCCCATCCCCACCACCACCATCCACACTATCCCCATCCCCACCACCACCATCCACACTATCCCCATCCCCACCACCACCACCACCCCATGCCATCCCCCCCTACCGTGACAACAACAGCATCGAATCTCTCAGGCTGCTGCTCCCCGTCCTTGCGCCTCCCCTTGCTGCCCCCCTCCCCCACGCGAGTGACCGCCAGCGACCAGGAGGGGCGGTGCGGGGGCGAGTGCAGGTCGCAGGAGAGGGCGTCCACGCGGTGGGAGAGACGCAGGGACGAGGGGGGGATGCGCGATGCGAGGGAGAGAGGCAGCTCCTGTGAAATGTGAGAGAGGGGGAGTGCATATGGTGGGGATTGGGAAGGGGAGAAGGGGGAGGAGGGATGTGTGGGGATTTGGGGGGAGGGGGGGTGGGGGGGTGGGAAGGTGCAGTGGAAGGGGGAGAGAGAGAAGGGATGCAGGGGCGAGTGCAGGTCGCAGGAGAGGGCGTCCACGCGGTGGGAGAGACGCACACAGGGACGAAGGGGGGATGTGAGACACGGGGGGGAGCGGCAGCTCCTAAGAAACGGGGTGAGTGCATACGGTGGGGGATTGGTAGGTGGGGAGTGGATGCAGCGGGCCGAGGTGGGAGCGGAAGACCCGGGTGAGGGACATGGGGAGGTGAAGGAAAGGGGAGGGAGCTGGCAAGGGAAGGAGAATGGAAGGTAGATTGGAGGGAAAGGGAGGAGGGAGGCCGAGAGGGAAGCAGGAAACGGGGATGGCAGAAGGGGAAGGGAGATGGGAGAAGGGAAAGAGAAAGATGTCAAAAGGGACAGCGAGAAGGGAAAGAGAAAAGAAGAGAGGAGGGAAAGGGAACGGGACACAGGGCAGGGAGACAAACAAGTGGGGAGAGCAGCAGACGCATACTTGCATGCCTGATTGGAATGAGAATGACAGGCCCTTGGGCCGTGGGGCAACGGCCTTGGATGCTCCCTGTGGTGATGTTGATGATGTGGTAGCCTCCTGCTTCTTTGCATTGGCCCTTGCCATCTGCTTCTTCACCATTCCCACTAGTAGCGACCCGTGCCTGCACACACACACACATACACGCACGCACACGCATGACACACACACACACACACACACACACACACGCACACGCATGACACACACACACACACACACACACACACACGCACACACACACACACACACGCATGCACGCACACACGCAGGCGCGCACGCGTTCGGGCACACACGCACACACACACATGCACGGACGCACACACGGACATATGTACCAACAAACGAATGAATTCACGCCCGCTCACACATACCCACACAGGTGCACATATACGCAAGGAGAGACACAGACACACTCACGCACAGTTCGAAGTACAAAGAACGAAGAAGAAGAAGAAGAAGAAGATAAAGAACGTACACCCATAAATGTACTGCTCACATCCAAAAATATACACCACATATGCTACACATCCCTCTACCCCCATCCATCTATCTTCCCCGCCAGTCTACCCCCTGACAGTCTGCCCCCACGGTGCACTCACTCCTGCTCCAGCTCCCACACCTCGTGGAATGCGTGCTTCATCTGCACAGGGCATGCGGGGCATGGGGGAGGGAGGGATGGGCTTGGGGGGGTGAGGGGTGGGCATAGGCGGGTGAGGGATGGAAAGGAGGTGGGAAAGGCGAAAGCGAGGAGATGGAGAAGGTGGGGGAGGGAGAAGAGGGTGCGGGCACGGGGAGGGGGGGTAATGTGAGGCAGGAGGGTGGGTAGGGCAGATATGTATGGGTGGAGAGAGGTGGCATAGGGTACAAGAGAAGAGGAGAGCATGGCACGGCATGGTGTGACATGGCGGGCACAACGTACAAGGAGGTCGTTGGGGTTGGATCCAGTGGTGCCAGCACAGAACGGGTCAACAATGTAATCCACAGGCTGGGCGGTGGGAGAGAGGGAGAGGGGGGGGGAGGGGGGGGAGGGGAGGAAAAGAAGAGGCGGGGTTGGGAACAGCGGAGTGAGGGGATCGATAGTGCACGGGAAGGGGTCAACAATGGTGGTGCTGGTGGTGGTGGTGGGGACGAGGTGGGTTTGAGGGACGGGGCAGGGGAAGGAGGCAGGGTCGGGTGTGGGCTGCTGTCGAGTGTCAGGAGTCGGCTGTCAACTCTCGGCTGTCAACTGTCGGTTATCGGTTGTCGGCTGTCGGCTGTCGGCTGTCGGCTGTCGGCTGTCGGCTGTCGACTGTCGGCTGTCGGGTATCGGGTGTCGGCTGTCGGCTGTCGGACGTCGGGAGTCGGGTGTCGGGAGTCGGCTGTCGGCTGTCAGCTGTCGGGTAGCAGGTGTCGGCTGTTGGCTGTAGGCTATTGGCCTTCGGCTATCCACTGTCGGCTGTCGGGTGTGGGCTGTCGGATGTCAGGTGTGGGCTGTCGGCTGTCGGGTGTGGGCTGTCGGGTGTCGGGTGTCAGCCGTCGGCTGTCAGCTGTCGGCTGTCGGCTGTCGGCTGTCGGCTGTCGGGTGTGGGCTGTCAGCTGTCGGGTGCATGTGTCCTAGTGTGCATGTGTACCTGCATGCGTGTGTGCATGTGCACATGTGTGCTTGTGTCCATGTGTGTATGTGTGCATCTGTGCTTGTGTGCCTGTGTGCCTGTGTGCATGTGCGTGCATGCCTCACCTCGGGCCCCACATGTCGCTCCAAAAAGCTCCGCACACTGACACGGGAGGGACGGGACAGAGAGGGAGGACGGAATGGGGGCATGGGGGCATGAGGGAATGAGGGAATGAGGGAATGAGAACACGAGGGCACAGGCGGATCGCATAAATATACCGTGTTACCCCATCGGCTCACCACTTCCCTTGGCCATTCATCCCATCCCATAGCAACCACGCACCCTAGCCTCTCCCCCCATCCGACACAGCAACCCCCTCCATTCCCCCCATCCACTCCTACTTCCCCCCACCCCCTCCCCCCTCCCCCCTCCCCCCTTCCCATCATACCCCCATTTCCCCAGGCGCACCTCTCCTCCTCCGCATTGGCCCCAGGGGGGAGTCGCTTCCACAGGAGAGGCTCCGCTACCATGCGCAGCTGGGGGGGGGGAGGGGAGCAAGAGGGAGAAGGGGGAGAGGAGGAAGAGAGGAGAGGGAAACGAGGGGGAGAGGAGAGGAGAATTCGGACTTGAGGGCTGAAAAACGGAAAGGGAGAAGGCAGTGTGAGTGTGCATGCGCGAGAGTGGATTCGAGAGCAACAGAGATAGGGGGGGGTGGTAAGAGGTGAAAGGAGGGTGTGAAAGGAAGGGTGGGGTTTGGGAAGGTGGTCGGCCATGCAATTATGCTGTCACGCATGTCACTCCCCCATGCCACCAACATCATGCACCCATCCACCTATTCCCCAATTCACTGCATCCGTCCAGCCGCAGACCCGCTTTATCCCCCATGCCCCCATGCCCCCATGCACCCATGCACCCATGCCCCCATGCCCCGATGCCCCCATGCCCCCATTGCCCCATGCACCCATGCCCCCATGCACCCATGCCCCCATGCACCCATGCCCCCATGCGCCCATTCCCCCGTGCGCCCATGCACCCACGCGCCTGCTTGTACCTTGGCAGGGAGGGAGAGGAGTGGCGTGGTGAGGAAGTCACCCAGACTGCCAGGCAGCTGCCATGCGGGGAGGGGGTGAGGGGGCGAGAGAAGGGGGGGAAGGGAGGACGGGGCGAAAAATGCAGGGAAGAAAAGGAACCGTTTGATTGGTTCAAAGATTGCCTGCTGCTGAAGGGGTGCTGCAATGCAGCGGAGAGAGGAACGGAAGGCAGGCATAATGGAGGGGAGTAGGTGGGTAGCAACAGAGGGGCTGAGGATAAGGATTCCAGAGACAAAGGGCGACGGACATTGTGGGGTGCGAGGTCCAGTGGGTGAGGAAGGGGGAATGGGAGGGGCGAGGAACGGCCAAAACAACTTGATGCATGCTGTTGCAATGTGTTCTTCCACCCCAAGCCCTCTCCCCTCCTCCCTCTCCCCTCCCCCCTCCCCCCTCCCCGCTCTCCCCTCTCCTCTAAGGGCCCTGCCCATGAACATCACCAGGAGCAAGAGCCCTCACCAGCATTGGCTTGCCGTTCTTCACTATGTACCGCTTCGTCTGCTGCTGGGGCTGGTGCCTCGCGCATGTACGGCCACGTGGACGGACATGCATCACACATGCAACGCACATGCATCACATGTGCATGTCACAAGCGCCACCATGCAACACCACGGATCGCCATGAATCACCATGAATCACACAAGCACATAATGTGCAAAGCACATGCACATGGACACACATGCACACACATGCACACACATGCACACACATGCACACACATGCACACACATGCACACACATGCACAGACGTGCATGAGACGAGAAAGAAGGGGTGCGTGAGGCATGCAGGGGAAATGCGAGAGAAATAGGAGAGGAATATGAGGGGCAGCCCCTCTCAGTGGTGGTTGGGTCGCAGAACCAAGAAGGCGAAGAAGCTACCCCATAACTCTGCTGGTTCCACGCCTGCTACCTTGCTCAAGAACCACAACGTCCCCAACACCACCCACCCGCACGGCAGCACGGCTGAAAGCTGAAACCCACAACCACAGCAACGCCATCACCACAACCACAGCAACGCCATCACCACAACCACAGCAACGCCATCACCACAACCACAGCAACGCCATCACCACAACCACAGCAACGCCATCACCACAGCCACAGCAACGCCATCACCACAACCACAGCAACGCCATCACCACAACCACAGCAACGCCATCACCACAACCACAGCAACGCCATCACCACCTCCGGCAGCAATAAAGCCATGCACATGAATACAGCACCATGCACATGAATGCAGCACCATGCACATGAATGCAGCACCATGCACATGAATGCAGCACCATGCACGTGAATGCAGCACCATGCACGTGAATGCAGCACCATGCACGTGAATGCAGCACCATGCACGTCAATGCAGCACCATGCACATGAATGCAGCACCATGCACGTGAATGCAGCACCATGCACGTGAATGCAGCATCATGCACGTGAATGAAGCAACATGCTAGCAACTTTTCTCAAAAACTCACTTCAACTGAACCGCCCTCCACCCTCCACGCCCGTGCACTCAAATCGCACTCATCTCATCCCTCCATTCACCGCTTCGTTCCTGTTACCACCACCCACACCCTCCCACCCCTCTCCTCCCCCCCCTCCTCTCACAACCACCCCCAGTGCTCGCACCACCCCCAGTGCGCTCACCAGCACGACTCGGTCGTTCAGCCCCAGGTCGTCTATTATGCGCCCCACTAGCGGCTCGTTCTCCATCTGACCACAGGCACGGGTGGCACGAGTTGAGAGGGGGGAGGGGGGGGGGTTTAGGATTCTCAAACACGAAATTCTCAAGAACCAACTCATCTGGAGAGTGGCGAGAGGGGGTCGCGCAGAGCAGCATAGAGAAGGGGGAGAGCGGAAATGGAGATGCAAGGGAGGGGGGGTAAGGAATGTGGACTAAAGGGACGAGAGGAAAGATGGCAATGGGATGAGAGGGAGAGGGGACGGGAGAGACCGGGGATGGGACGTGGTAATGAAGATACAGGACACAGCAAAAGGTGCAAGGTGCAAGGTGCAAGGTGGGTCATGTTAGGTGAGGGCATGTGCCCGCCACCACACATGCAACATGCGTGGTGCAAGCATGAAACACATGGCATGGGTGCGCAGGAAGACGTCGATTCCATCCCCACCCTTTTCTTCCATCATGCTATTACCTCACCACTTTCTGACGTCACCACCCACCCAGGATTTCAGGTGGCTACTATCCCACCACCCTACCGCCCCATCACCCCACCACTCTCCACCCCACCATCCCACCACGCACCGCTCTCCATCCCCCTCTCACCATGGTGTTGGCCCCGGCGTCCCACTGGAAGCCCTGGTCTCTGTGCGACCATAGCTTGCCGCCTACGCGCCCGTCCGCCTCGTACACCACCACCTCCGCGCCCCCCTGCTGCAGCCGCCACGCCGCCGCCAGCCCGCTGAAGGGGGGTAAGCCAAAAAGAGGGGGTTGGGGGGGGGGAGGGGGGAGAGAGCGGGGTTGGGGAGGTGAAGGGTGGAGTGGTTGAGTTGAGAGAGCAGAGGAAGGGGGTTTCGGAGGAGAGGAGAGGAGAGGAGAAGAGAGGAGAAGAGAGGAGAAGAGAGGAGAAGGACGAGAATTGGCGAGGAGAGAGAGAGAGGGGGGGAACGTGCAGAGTAGGGCAGCTGAGGAGGAGAAGGGGCAAAAGAAAAGAGAGGGGGCGCGCGGGCATGGCGTGCGACGTTCGCAGGGAGGTGGGTATGCAGGGAGGTGGGTATGCAGGAAGATGGCTATAACCGGTTTCGTGATTGGCCTTTTGACGCGCCTGAATGCTGGCTGGGTCACGGCAGGCAATGGACGCCACTGGTACAAAAAACTCACTCCGCATAAACCTACTCAACACCCGACCCAACACCATGTAACTCGTTAACCACGCCGTTGACAGCCGTTGGCCGCCGTTAACTCCCGTTGACCCCCGTTGACCTCCGTTGACCGCCATTGACCCCCGTGTCCCCCGTTGACCCCCGTTGACCCCCGGCGACTCACCTGACACCTGCTCCAATGACCGCCACTCGCCCCAGCGGAGGGGTTGCTGCAGGCGGGGTGGGAGGTGGAGAGGCAGGGGGGAGGGGCAGAAGGGGAAAGGCGGGGGATAGGTGGAAAAAAGGGAAAGAGGAGCGTGCGCGTGTGCGCGTGTGCGCGTGTGCGCGTGTGTTCATGTGTCTGCACGCGAGGGTGCGCGCGTGTGCGCGTGCAGATGGAGGCGATGGCGGGGAGCAAGGCGGCCAACGCGGTGTCACAGAACGTATTCGCATCGCCAACCTCCTGCCGTCGCTATCGCTGCCGCTATCCCCAATATTGCAGCCAGAAATCTGGCCGGAGCCAGGCTCGCATCCTTGCTCCCCACCATTCACCATGACGCGTGTCTGCACGGCCAGTGAGCGTTGTATCTCTGCAAAAGTTTTTCACCTGAAGTTGCGGACGGCGCGGCGGGGTGAACGGCGGACGCCTTGGCGGAGTCTTTGAAAGGGCCGGGGCGAGGCATGGTGGAGGATGGAGGTGGAGAGAAGGTGATAAGTTGGTAGCGAGTTCTTGAGGGAGCGAGGATAGGAATTCCGCAACACAATCACAATTTGGCACATGGGATACTGCTGTTCTTGCAATTTAGCCTTGTTGGCTGCGTTCTGCAGGTCAAAAAGGAAGGTAAAGATTAGGGAAGGTATATCGGCGCTCAGTATAAGGGGCCTCGATAACATGTACGGTCAGTGAAACGAAAAAAACAATCAGAATTAGCGATTTATCAACATGTTTCATCCGTAGGATTCCACCCTTAGTCAGAAACTGCAGGAAAAAAGTTCCACGAATGCAGGCTGCGTTCTGCAGGCAAAAAAGGAAAGTGCAGATTACATCAGAGAACCTTCCGAAAGATTATAATTTTTTAACACAAGCAGTGTTTTTCAAAAATTGTGTATTGTGAAAGCAAAGCTGGTTGTACTCAACCGTTGGGCACCGTCGAAGCGCGCTACTCGCCCTTCTCCAACTACAAATACGTGGGTTGGAGTGTCAACTTATACATATGATCTATGTAGAAGTTATAGGCTAGACTAGGTGTGTGCTTCTAGTGAGTACAACCCAACTGCTATATGTTCTAGGTTTCTCCTTCTAGTAAGACATTCACGTATTCTAACATGGTATCGAGTAGGTTAGATCCCCCCGCCCGCTTCCGTCCGCGCCCTATTCTCTCGCCCACCCTTAGCCGGCCCTCTGGCCGTCACGTTCGCCCCTAGTCGGCCCCCTGGCCGTCACGTCCGCACCTAGTCGGCCCCCTGGCCATCACGTCCGCCCCTAGTCGGCCCCCTGGCCGTCGCGTCCGCCCCTAGCCGGCCCCCTAGCCGTCGCGTCCGCCCCTAATCGGCCCCCTGGCCGTCGCGTCCGCCCCTAGCCGGCCCCCCGGCCGTCGCGTCCGCCCCTAGTCAGCCCCCTGGCCGTCGCGTCCGCCCCTAGCCAGCCCCCTGGCCGTCGCGTCCGCCCCTAGCTGGCCCCTTGGCCGTCGCGTCCGCCCCTAGTCGCCCCCCCTGGCCGTCGCGTCCGCCCTTTGCTGGCCCCCTGGCCGTCGCGTCCGCCCCTAGTCGGCCCCCTGGCCGTCGCGTCCGCCCTCAGCTGGCCCCCTGGCCGTCGCGTCCACCCCTAGTCGGCCCCTTGGCCGTCGCGTCCGCCCCTAGCTGGCCCCCCTGGCCGTCGCGACCGCCCCTAGCCGGCCCCCTGGCCGTCGCGTCCGCCCCTAGCCGGCCCCCTGGCCGTCGCGTCCGCCCCTAGTCGGCCCCCTGGCCGTCGCGTCCGCCCTCAGCTGGCCCCCTGGCCGTCGCGTCCGCCCCTAGTCGGCCCCCTGGCCGTCGCGTCCGCCCCTAGCTGGCCCCCTGGCCGTCGCGTCCGCCCTCAGCTGGCCCCCTAGCTGTCGCGTCCGCCCCTAGCTGGCCCCTTGGCCGTCGCGTCCGCCCCTAGCCGGCCCCCCTGGCCGTCACGTCCGCCCCCAGCCGGCCCCCTGGCCGTTCGCGCCCGCTCCTAGCCGGCCCCCGGGCCGTTCGCGCCCGCCCCTAGCTGGCCCCATTGGCCGTCGCGCCCGCTCCTAGCTGGCCCCCCCTGGCCCCACGCACCCGCTCCTGGCCGGCCCACTGACAGTCGAGCCCGCTCCTAGCCGGCCCCAGCAGCGCCCGCCCGGCCCCTCTTCGAGCCCGCCCGGCCCCCAGTCGTGCCTGCCCGGCCGCCCCGCGCGTGCTAGGCCCCTCCTAGTGCCCGCCCGGTCCCAGTGCGCCCGCCCAGCCTCTCCTCCTACCCGCCCGGCCCCTCCTCGTGCCTGCTCGGCCTGCCGTGCCACCTCGGGCCCCATGTCCTCTGCTAGCTCGCGCTGGGGCGCTCCGCAGCCGCCCTACTGGAGAGTGCTGCCGCCCGCCCAGTGTCCCCGTGCCGTTGTGCTCCTGCCGAGCTGTGGAGCTGTGCCGCTGTGTCGCTGAGGTACTGTGTCGCTGACCCTGCACGATGGCTGACTTCGTGCTCCGCCTGGACGCTGAGGGCCACGCGGTTGACTTCATTGCTTGGCTCTCCGATCTCCGCCGTCAACTTACAGGTTAGCGCCAGGATGGACACTCGCTGGTTGTCCATGCTGATGGCTTGCTCCCTCGCCCCCCTGCACCTGCTCCCCTCCCTGCTGACCCCACCTCTGCTGAGAGTGAGGCTTTCTCTACTGCTGCCCTTGCCTGTGCGGTCTGGGACTCACGCGATGCAGTAGCTCAGGTTGCTATCAGTTACGCTCTCCCTGTGACTGAGCGCTCGCGTTTTGCTACAGTTGATACGACCAAAGCTTATTTAGACGCTGTTATTGCTCGCTGTTGCACACCTGCATCCGCTTCTGTCGGCCGCCAGCTCTTCCCGAGGCTGCTCCCAAACCTTGCTGCCTTCCCTACTGTCGCAGACTTTGCCACTCACTTGCGTGCCCTAGAGACTCGCTATCGCACTGCCAGCACTGCTGCCCAGCTCACTGCGCTCCCCCCCCCCTTTCTGCATGACCCTCTATTTTATCGCCATGCGCCTGCCGGACTGCCTAGCTAGTGCCCGCGACCGCTTCCTTAGCCAGCACCCGGGTGACCTCACACTGTCCGCCTTTGTCGACACCCTCACTGAGATCGAGACGCGCCAGCGCACTATCGCTCAATCGAGCGGTGCGCCGGCAGTCTCTATCTTTCACGACAGTGCCCCCTCCCAGTGCACATTTACTGACGTTTCGGCTGCAGTCGCCACTGCGACCCCTCTTACCGAGACGGCTGCTGCGGTCCACCCGCAGCAACGTCTGCGCCGCGGTGACCGTGGCCGCCAGGGAGGTCGTGGTGGTGGCACTAGTGGTGGTGGTAGTGGTGGTGGTGGCGGTAGTCCACCTGAGGGGACTACCACCGGTGGGCAGGAGCAGACGCAGTCGCCTTCGCAGCCGGAGCAGCCCCAGCAGCAGCCGCCGCCGTCCCAGTAGCAACCGTCGCAGCCATGGGCTCGTCTCCCACCTGGTTGGCCCGGCACCTCCGGCGGTGGTGGCCGAGGTGGTGGCCCGCGCAGCTTGGCGTCTACCGGCAGCTCCAGTGTTGTCAACTGCCAGCACCAGCTTCAGACCAGGCCTCTCCGCGGCACTCTGTGCCGTCGCCAGCACCCGACCGCCCGCTGTTTCCGCCGCCTCAACGATCTCTTTCGTCGTCGCTTTGGGCCGGCCCCGGACCTCCCCGACTGGCACAACCTACTTCGCCAGGGCGTGCCGATCTTTGAGTTAGATATGGATCAGATAGGTGCTGCTTTGCATGCTTTGTATGCTGACGCTTCTAGTGTTCCTGGATCTTATTACCCTGCGTTCTCTAGCTTAGGTGTCTCACCCTTGTGTAGCTTAGCCTCCCCAGCTGCGTCATGCGTAGGACTGCCTAGTTTGCCTAGCCTAGGTTTTGCACCGGCTCCGTTCCCAGCCTCCGCCACTGCCTCGCTGTCCTTCACTCTCGACTCCGGTGCTTCTGCCTGTTTCTTCCGCGACCGCTCCACGCTTACGCCGCTTGCTGCGCTTGCTGTTGTCTCTCTCGCTGACCCCTCCCGGGTCCCGTCGTCGCTCACAGTTCCACGTCCCTTCCCTGTCCAGCGGTTCCCTCAGGCTCTCTTACAGGCCTCAACGTTCCCTCGTTCTCGAGGAACCTGGTAAGTGTCGGCTGTCTTCAGGACCTCGGCGTCACCACTATGTTCTCCGGGCACGAACAGTTCGCTGTCTGTTCTGAGGCTGTCTCAGGTTCCCCCCTTGCTACGTCCCCCCGGGACCCGGTGTCCGGACTGTTCACCCTAGACACTGCTTCCCCCCCGGTTGGTGCGTCCTCCCAGGTCGCTGCAGCTTGCTCGTGTCGGTCTCTCACTCACCCGTCCCATTTGTGGCACCACCGCCTAGGTCACCCTGCACTCCCGCGTCTGCGTCACATGTCCCAGCACGGTCTTGTCTTAGGCCTCCCCGCGTTGCTCCCCGCCCTTCCCCTCTCGCCTGCTCCACCGTGCACGCCCTGCGTCGAGGGCCGGCTCCGCCGTGCCCCTCACTTGTCCTCGCTTCGCCCTGCCACTGCTCCCCTTCAGACCCTGCACCTGGACGTTTGGGGCCCAGCCCCTGTCCCCGGACCGCGTGGCGAGCGCTACTTTATTGTGCTCGTCAACGACTACACGCGCTACACCACGGTGTTTCCCCTGGAGCGGAAGGCCGAAGTGCCCGACGTTCTTCTCCCGTGGGTTGTGGCTGCGCGTCTTCACCGCGGTCTCCCCGTGTTGTGTCTCCACTCTGACCGTGGCGGAGAGTTTGCTTCTGGTCGGCTTGGACAGTTCTGTCGTGCGGAGGGCATCACCCAGTCGTACGCCTTGCCGGACTCGCCACAGCAGAATGGGGTTGCTGAGCGCCGCATCGGCTTGGTCATGGAGGTGGCTCGTACCTCCATGATCCATGCCGATGCACCCCATTTTCTGTGGCCGTTCGCCGTTCGCTACGCCGCTCACCAGCTTAACCTGTGGCCACGCTCCCAGCGGCCGCAGGTTTCGCCGACACTCCTTTGGACCGGGTCCTCCGATGAAGCGTCTGCGTTCCACGACTGGGGCCGCCTTGCTCACGTTCATGCCTCTGGCACGGACAAGCTCACTGCCCGCATTGTCCCCTGTGTCTTCCTCGGTTTCCCCCTGGACTCGTCTGACTAGCTCTTCTACCACACGCAGTCTCTCCGCTTCCTCCACTCTTGTGACGTCACCTTTGACGAGTCCGTCTCCTTCTACCGTCGCTTCCCTCACCGAGGTCTCCCGGTTTACCCCCCCCTGTTCCTTGCCCCCTCTCCCCCGGTAGCCCCTCCCGCCGCGTCTTGCCCCGTATGGTGTCTCCCATGTCACTCCCCTCACGTCAGTTGTTCCTGTTGAGGAGTCTGCTGACTCTGGTGGTTCCCCCGCTCCGACCTTGCCGCGTCCCCCTTCCCTGGTGTCTCCGCTCTCGCTGTCGCACTCGACGCCATCGTCGCCGTCGCCGCCGCCGCCGCCGTCGCAGCCGCCATCGCAGCCGCCGCCGCCGCCGCTGCCACTCTTGGCCTCTGGGGGTGCTGGCGCTGAGGA